ATAGACCAGCGAGGTATGAATCTATTGCGAATCGTGCAACCGATCTCGACGACACATGCAGCAATTCAATTATCCGCGGGCTATAAAATCGGAGAGAAAAAAATTTCTCAATTCCCTACAATTTCGTTGGCCCTTTCCCTTTGTACATGTCAACGTTATCTCATTTCCGAAAATATTTATTGGATCTAATAATCGAACTAAGTAATTTTTTTCTGTTTCGATTTTTTATATTAGAACCCCCTTAAAGAACGAGTTTTATTCGCGGAGCAATTCGGAATTTTTGCCTCCCGATGTGCTCATCGGTTCGCAGAACTTGTGTCACTGTAAGCACGCACTAATTACGTGCTATATCCGGAAAGAGCAACTCACGGACGGTACGATGCGCATCGCAACGTAACCAAAGGTACCGGCGAGAGAAACTGGAAGGTACCGGGGGAGAACGAGCGGTGGCCCGGGTCTCTCCCCGGCCGTAACTCTTGATTCTCTTTGAAGCGCGGAAGCTGCCCGCAACACCTGACTGACTCGACGGACGCGTATATGGCAGGTCGAGCGGAGCAGCAGCGGCAGACAGAGCTCACCGGGGGTGGGTGAGGGGCGAGACGACGGGTAAAAGCGGAAGGCAACCACCACCGGGGTGGGCTGCGAGAGAGCGAGAGAGAAAGAGAGAGAGAGAGAGAGCGCGAGAAAGCTAAAGGGAGGCAGAAAGAGAAAGATTAATAATATAGGAAAGCCAAAGCCACGCCGCAGCCCCTGACAAGCTTTCCGCCTCTCTTCTGTTGCCAACAGTTAATCGATATACAGTATTTCCTCGTTAAAAGAAAGAAACTTTTCGCTTCATTAACAGAAAGAAAATCATCCCCTCCTCCCTCCCTCTTCGTCATTTCTCGAGTGAGCAAGTCTCGAGTCCTATCTAAATATGTGACTGACGTTTGACAGCGAGAGAAATCACTCGCAAATAACTCTTTCGATAAAAGATACAATGTTTAAATTTGTTCTCTTTATATGAGAAATCATTTTTATAAATTACTGAGATTTTTCTTATTAATATGACATTAAATACAGCCTCTCTCGACTAATTTTTAATTAGACGTAAAATAACATTTACTGATTCGATTTTTTTTCACATAACAGATACAATTTTAATTTTATTATGTGCATAATTGAAATAAGATCTGTCAAATAAAATCATTGACATTCAGCTTGGCGGATATTTAAAGTATATACATGTATGTATACACCTTGGCTTCTTGAATATCTCGGTTCGGACAGCGTGCGTAAAGCAAAAACGAGAATAAGAACGTAGTAAGAAAGAATAAGAGCAAACAATTTTCGGCATTAAACAAAACTAGGGCGCTGCCAGATGACGACCAGGTACTCATCTCGGTAAGACTCGAGACTCGCTCGTACAAAACGGGGGAATAAAATCTTCTTTTTAATAAAGCGACAAGTCTTTCTGTTAACGAGGAAAGGCTGTAATTTAGTTGATAATGAGTAAGAAGAAGAAGAAGAAGAACACAAGAAATTATTATACAATATACGTATAAACTATTTATCTTTGTATAGTTTATATAAAACTTCACTGATTGTGAGACTTATACACTTATATCCTTTACTTAGAGTTAGACTTATTTGTATCTTAAATAGAACAATTGCCGCTGATGGGTTATAAAAATCTTTTATGATACGTCAACATAGAATTTTAGAAAATTATCTCATCACGATTCTCCACCTTAGTTTCGCTTTGTTTAGATTGTAAATGTTATCTATATCAACATCTTCCTCTTCTAATCGTTGCTCGAAATCTTGTGTGTGAACAAATTTTTCAGCAATCGGCTGACAATCGGAGAATCATCGTCAATGTATATCTAGTAATCGAATTTCGTAATGTTCTTTAAATCGCCCAATCTTTACTTGAATATTGACGATCTACGTAATTTACGTACACACAAGTCCCGATGCTCTTTCTTTAAGCATTATATCAATGACTATGTTTTCTTTCCACTTTAAGAACCAAATGTATATTCCTTCATAGATCTTTATCATCTAGACTTGTATTTCATGTTCTATTATAGTGTCCTCTCTAATTGAATTAACTGACGTATCTGAATAACATTCTTCTTAATTCGTCAAACATTGATAGTGGAAATATTATAATTGGCTATAATTTCGAGATGTCTTTTTCGAGCTTTTGCCAAATCTTGATGCATTGTTGTATCGACATGGCAGACTATTTATACTTTTCAAGATTGACTGACATTAAGAATTGCGTCGATTATTTTTAGAAAAATGTTTACTATGTTTTCTGTATATCTGTGACGCGGCCAAAGTTTTTTGCATTGTTGTAGAAAAACAATTATTAAACCGTATTATTCGCAAATTCGTTGTATCATTGATCTTTACCCTTATTTTCATTTTTATTTTTTATTTTAATCTAATTCATTCTTATACATGGCGTATCTTATAACTAACTTCCTAATCTGAATAGAAACATACATCTATAGAAGAAAAAAAGGCTATACACATACGCATCATGAAAAATCAAGAACAATGACTCGTTCTTATTCTCGCACTCAACGAATTACTGCAAAGATTTATAGGAAAATGCACAAGAGTACGCAGCTTCATGATACAAAAAAAGATTTATGATTACGATATCAAATCAAACAGAACTGTCACAAAATAATATTACAACCACATTATAAAACTTCACAAAATTACATTTTAATAATGATACTGTCTCTTGTTATTTTTTAACAAAGCTAATAAAATTATATTAACTTTTATTTTTCAATATATTTAAATTGATACGCTTTTTAATACATGTATAACGACTGGTGAGGTATATAATAAATACCTGGAGCTTGGATGGGACAGTAACTCCGGCATTTATACAGTGTAAATGATGAGATATCGAGGGAACGGTGGCCGCATGCCGCGCGATATACGTGCGGGGGATGAGAGCGCAAAGATCGACACGGCTCGCGCCAACATTGCGGAAGCGCGCTACGAATTCGTACCCGCCGCGTGCTTCCGCCACGGTTAATCGTGACGTGCGCTGGGGAACCGATTATTGGCAAACACCGTGCGAAAGGATGCACCTGACAGGGGTTTTCGTCGCGCGCCTGTTCGGTCCTTATCTCCGCGCTCCCCGTCGAAGAAAACTCAAAGTTCCCTCCGGTAGTCTTTGCCCCGCGGCGATTCATCCACTTTCCCTCCCCTTCCCCACCACCACCCCCCCTCCTCCACATCATCTCCTCCCTCTTTCTCGCTCGACGTAATATACTCTTTGCGCTCCGATGGCTCGATTCTCCGGCGTGTTCGACATGGTAAATTCTCTCGACGGTGTATTCACGACAGCTTGGTGTTGATATCGTGAGCGATTATTTCTCACGAGTTGATTGCAATCCGATCGATGGGGAACGGGTCTTTTTCGTGAAAATATAGCATATTAAGATGGTGATAAAGTATTTCTCTCTCTTCTCATTAACTGAAAGACGGCGATCGTTTTCTGTTAATGAAGCAGCTTACATACTTTCCAAAATACCTGTCCCATAAATCTCTCCGGCGCCTCGTCGCGAGTGAGAGCGCAAATAGGATAAGAGAATAAGAGCGAGTGAGAGAGAGAATAAGAGCGAATATTTTTCGGCATCAAAGCTAGAGCGCTGCCAGATGTCGGCCAGATGTTCAGGTGAAGTCTAACACTCGCTCGCGCAAAAAAAAAGGGTAGAAAGAGAGGAGGGGGGAAGAAGCGCGGAATAATTTTCTTCCTATTAATGAAGCAAAAAATCTTTCTGTTAACAAGGAAATACTGTACTGAAAGATATTCCTCAGTGCGAGTATCCCTGGCAAACTGATTTGACAACTCTCTTTCGAGTCAGAAGTTCCGAAGAGTATTACTTTTTTTATCGATACTTTATGCTGCAGCATAGGCAATTTTTGGCAATATTTTTGAGTGCTCTCAAAAGCTACATATCTATATTACAAACAAAACACGATTTAAATATAAATATAAAAGGATTAACAAATTTTGCGATTTTCTAAATAGTGTGTGTGTGTGTACAAAACGAGTAGCGTAGTTTGCGTAGTTTCATATATCGAATCAATGAAAAATTGATTGAATACGACTGAAAAGGTCAAGATACGATATTTCGAATTAATAGCAGAATTGATCGATACAATAGCATCGAGCAGCAGTAGAGTTCTTTGGTAAAAGTTGCAACATAGTCGTAACGTTGCAATGACGGCTGAAATGACAGCAGAGTTTTGTGCGGCACGCGATTTCCTAGTTATCACGTTCTCCCCGCAACCCCATAGCTTTGTAACGCGAACTTTATGTGGTCACGTGTGGTTATACCTGTCATTTTCATTATTTCTGTATTCAAGTCTATATTTCGAAGAATATTATGTAAGAATTTCTCACATGGAAGAGAGACGTTCTGTCAAATAATTATTTCTTACACATCGTAAAAATCATACATGTAAATATATCTGCAATATACATATAAATATATATATATATATATATATATATATATATATATGTCATACGAATCATTTATAATGTTATCTTAGATATATAAAGGTTGTCTAAAAAAAAGCAAATATGCATATGCAATTTATTTTATAAACTACTAATACCATAAATATAACTCTCTCTCTCTCTCTTATTTTTATTTATGAAATTATATTATATTATACTTTTTATGCAAAAATAATAAGGTAAAAAAATGATTTATCTTCATTATTGGAACGTGATAAATAAATTTCTTATAAAAAGAGAAAGAGATAAATATACAGAATTAAAGTCAAATATTTGATTTATTCACCCTTAATTCGAAAAACTATTTTTAAATTATCAAAAATGTTGCACATATTGCAACCTTAATTTTTTATTATTTTATAACGATCTTCGCTGCGCAAAAATTACATCACAAGCGCTAAAAAAAAAAAGATTGCCCGAAAGAATTCGAATGACACAGATAACTGTAGCAGATTCTCACCTTCTGCCTGTTCTTTTTTCGTGATCGATGCTCACGCAGCGTGTCAGATTAAACCGCAAAAAATCCAGGGAAGGCAGCGGCCTGTCGATCAGTCACAATTTTCGCACAGCGTTCGCGGATTTTTCACGATGCGCCTCATCGTACAAAGATGCACGCTTCTCGTCCCACGTTCTCTTCAAGATCTTTCGGTTTTGAGAGATAAGTTGGCGCGTCCCGCGTTAGATCGAACGCGTTATAAAAGACAAAATTGATGACTCTCAACGCGAAGATAAAGGAGAAAATTCCGAGACGCGCGAATACGAAAAGAAACTTTCAAAACATGGAGATGAGGGCGAAATTTTCAAACAAGAGCGAAGAGGGAGGAGAACAATTCGTGACCGGATCTGGGAGATAAAAGAAGAATAAAATTCATTAAATCAACGAAGAACACGTATGATTAATATCGAAACGACGAAGAGCGAGTTTCGGAACGACGACAGAGCAGCGCGAACAAGCGCTACGCACGAACGGCGGTCGACGGCCAACTGAGAGTCTCGCTGGAGAACCGAAAGGACGACGCCAGGCGGCCAGCCACCAGCCGGTGGCGGTGGAAGCAAAGAGGAAGAGAGGCGGTCGTGTGGTTTGCTAATCTCCACCACGCAACCTCCGGCCGGCCTTAACCTGCGAATTCCTCTTCCTGCAGGCGCGGTCGGTGACGATCCCCTGGAATCGCGCGCCGACGAAAACAATTCACGAGGCACCTGGCGGAGTTATTTCAGAAATGCCTCACGGATCGAAGCGATCTAGCAGGTCGCTTCCGACGTATCCGAGAACACGGGCTTCGAAATACCGGAAATTTATGTTTGAAAGAATGGATTCCATAACGCATTTTAACTATACGTGTTTATTATAGCTATCTTTCCCGAGAAATATCTTCGAAATAGCTTACATCATTACGTATTTAAAAATTAATTCTCTAAGCAAATACAAATTTTACACGTATCTTTGTTTTCTCTGAAAATAAGTATCTATACTAGCGACAATAATCGATATTTTACGGTATTTTTCTGATTAATAAAATAATAAATTACTTTAAATTACATAATATAAATTTATCTGCTTTATTTGTTAGAAAAAAAATTGATTTTCCTGAACGGTGTTCGCAGATTTTACTTTTCGATCGGCGCGAGATCGATGGGAAATCATCGCTTCACGATGTTTCTCGCCAACGAGGTGCGAGATGGTCGAAATGTAGGCGCGCGCACGTTCCTATACGCGATATTGTAAGCGGGCCAGTGTGCTCCTGACGTGTCGATATATTCCCGCGAAGAAAGGCTCTGCCGCTGAAGCTGAGAAATAGCTTGGCCTCCCGTACCTCATCCCCATTCCTCGACACCGGGAACCTCACCTCACCTCGGCATTTTGAATCCTGCGTCGCTCCTTTAACGCTCAGCTTTTAGACGAGGCGCGACATCGATCACCGTGGAATCTCGGCGCGATCGAGAAAGAGATTCGAGAATCTGCGTGCTCGAGAATCAATTGTCGCGTTAGACACGAGCAATTACGATCGGAATTTTGCGAGATTTGTTGGAATCAAACTATGCAAGACTAAATCCCGATTACTCTCTAAAAATATCATTATATTTCGAAAATCTTTATAGACTGTTTCGACCTTGGTTTCGATTATTCGATTAATTAATTTAACAATTTTTCCTATACTGTCAAAAAGAAACCCAAATTATGTTATTGTCAATGAAATTCCTTTATCAAAAGAAGACCTGTCCACCTCGATTTTGCATGGATCAGCGCGAGAGCACCGACCCATGACCGATTTTCGAACTCGGCCGCTGACGAGGAATGCTCGTCGACCCACAATCGCGCCAGCTGTCTTCGTGGAGGATGCGGAAGACGTGTCGACCATCCATCCCGCTTCGACGTTCGGCATTGATCGCTTCACACGCGGGAATTCTCGAGGCTCGTCATCCATCCGTCCCGTTGCATTCACTGCGTCGTTTCAAGTAATCCCTGATTTGTGAAATGAGGTAGCAGGATTTAAACATTTTATGACAACGAAAAATCTGCTGGAAGAGACTTGTGTCACAAATTTTGAAATTATATAGACAACTCAAAAACTAATTAAAGTTTCTCTGAATTTCAATTATTATAACATGGAAATATAAATTCCTATTCTATAATTAATTTAAATCGTGTATTATGCAAATAAAATTATAATCATTGTAGATAACATATTTTTCGTTCTATTCCTGAGCAAATGAGTCATAACGTCTTATCATAATTTTAGCTGTCTCAAAGTGCTTAAAAAAATTCACAAAAGTTTACATATATTCCTTGACACTTGCAAAAAATGATCATGTACAATAAAAGTTAAAAAATAATATTTTTTGTTGATTGATGAAGACCTTCGGGATATTCTATATTAAAATCGATAGAATTAAAATATCCATATATGATCTTTAAGAATTAAATTAATGAAAAAACAGAACGCGATACATTAAAGTCAATACAGGAAATTATTCGGATGTCCAATATTGAAAAGAAATTTGTTTCCAATCTCCCGAACTCGCAGCGTCGATTTAACATTTCCGAATGCACGGACACGTGCGTGCCTCGTTGCTTAGAGTGACATGCGTATGTGTGTGTGTGTGTGGACGCGGAGATTACAGGCGGTGTGCACGGACGTGCGCGTTTATCGGCACAAATTCGCGCGAGCGCGCGCGCGCGCACCACGTCGCCGACCTATTATACGTATTATTAGCACTCCGTCACGCCACCCTGTCATCGCCACGTACACACTCGTGCATACGCGCGCTGACGCGAGATCCCGAGGTCCCGTCTGCACGCGATCAGGTGCCACGTCGAGCTTTCCTTGAGCCTCGACTTCATTAAACGTTGATTCGTCATCGGACGCGCGAGGCAAGTTCCCGTTTCCGGTTAAAAAAATAAAAACGGGTATCTCGGAGGATATGCAGGTGGGCCAAATTCGATATAAGAAGGGGGGTTGCCCCCCCCTCTCTCTCGCCGTGAATGCGCGTCGCGATTACGTCTCTGAAGCGACAAAATGGATGAAATAAGAATCGAACAAGCTCGCAGTCACTGGGAATGACGAAGCGGGGCTGCTGGCACGTCGCCGGTAATTGGATGGACGGCGAGTAATTTATCGAGCCGCTTCAGGTATGACGCGCTGCGAGTTTCGACGTCGAATTAGCGCGGGCGCTCGGATAGGAATTAGTCGGCGAAGCAATCTAAGTTTCCCTCGGCAAAAGGCGGTCGGAACTGCCGCGCGAATAGCAAATCATTCGATCTGATACAGACATTACGTATGGTCCTCCTCCCCCGAGTCTTCGCTGGAATAATAATTCTGCACGCGTGATTATCAAGTTTATGCACTTCGTGTAACTTCGGTAAATCAAAGCGACAAATTTGAGCAATTTTCGCATCAACGCAGCCTTAGAGAAATCCGTTTGACGGATTGTAAGATTTACTCGTCCGAAAAATGAGTGATGGTTTTCTTCCTATTAAAGCAAAAAGTTTTCCTATCTTAATAAAAAAAAATGCTGTATATTATTTTAATTATTTCATATAATAAAAAGAAATAAATATATTATAACAATGTTTATGTAATATTTAAGCTTTCTGAGATAAACTAGAGAATTTTTATTTAAAATAAAATTTTATTAGATACTACTTTTCTTAATATCTTTGCAAACGATGTAACAACAATAGTATAATGATTTAAGTAACTAATTAAAATAATTTGACTTAATTAAATTAATACTAAAAATACGCGATTAATTCCCAAAAATTAATTCCGAGAACTTTGTAATATCACTCAAATTATTAATTTGATTGATTTCAACTCCAGCGCTGACTGCATGAGAAACATTAGTCAAAATAGAAGAAATCTGATGTCAAGTGGCATTGACGTGAATGGACGCTTTCTCAAACTCCGTAGATGAAGTTTTCGAAACTCATTTAATTACAACTCAATATTTTCTAGCAGAAGAACAGACGTGCGTTAAGAAAGGATCGATATTAAAATTCCGCCGGTATAAATTACAGCCAGCTTGATTCACTGGTGAAGCAAGTCAAAATAGTTTAAACAGTTGTTACTAAAATTTCACAAACTTTATAAAAAGTTTGGAAAAATATTATACAATTTTATAATTTTTTTAACGTGAAATTTTATACGCACACTAACTAATTTAATAATTTTACATTACTCGTTTTCTAATTTATAAAATTGATATGAGATATTAATTTGATTAATTCTCTCCTTTTATATAATTAGACAAATAAATATAATAATTTTTCCATATTAGAGTCCTAAGCAATCGATTTTTAACTTGATTATTATATTATATTATTGAATATTATTTTGAACATTATTTTGAACATTATTATGTTACGGTAAACATTCTATTGTTCCCTACCTCATATTCTCCAATTCTCTACATGAATATGCGGCATAAACAATGCAAATAGGTACGTGCCATCTATAAATTATAACGATATCAATTAATTTTGATACATTATTATAAATAGTCTATGCGTGTCGCATACAAAAGATCCGAGAATTAAACGAAATTCATCACCTGGAACAATTTGAATCATTTCTAAGTTGCAAACCTCTAAACAATACATACGGAACAAAAGCTTTAATTAAAAATTTAAGAGAGACAAAGAGAAAAAGAGGGGGGAAACGCGATATACAGTAAAATAAAATAACTGTAGGAAACGTCAAGGGCATTCGAAGTGGGGACGAGCCGCGAGTTGGCGATTTTACCAAACTCGGGAATTTCGAGACCCAATTACCAACTCACTCCGGTGGCGCGTATCGAACGGACGTACGTGATTAAACGCTAATTCCGATTTATTCGACGTACGGCCGTAAGTTTAAGCGCGGTGATGGCGTCAATCGCAGGACCGACCACGGCCGCGTTTTACACGCGATCGTCCACCTACGTGCTCGTAATTTACGACTTATCGGCGCCGCGGCGCGGTGTAATTTTCGCACTCGTGCAAAATTACACCGACGCAGAGCCAGTGATCGTCCCAACGGGCTAGTGCACCCTCTCTCGCATCCCACGCTTTCTCTCTCTCTCTCTCTGCAGCTCTTTGTTTCTCTCTCGCGCTCTCGCTCTCTGGAAGTGACGCGGGATCGTGCTCCTGGCGCGGGCGGGCATGTACCGGGATGTCGATACCACGAGAAGCGGATGTCAATAGCACGAAGTCACTCCTCCGGCGAGGGAGAGGCCGCTGGATCCGCCGATTTTACAAAGCCCTCGCCGCTCTGTCGCCCGTACGCGCTGGAGGAAAAAAGCGTTGGTCGAGAAAGCAAGAGCGAGGAGACGGAGGAGTCCTTTATCTTCGAGAGAGGACGAGATTTTATTATATCGAAAGACTGCCCGCGCGCGGACATGAACGCGCAAAGAATAGAGAGAACAGAGAGAAGAGAGCGAGAGAGAAGGAGAGAAATATATATGCCATATTAATAATAAAAGTTATTGTATTTATATAAGTTAGTACTTAAAAAATGCATCCTCATGTGAAATCATATTCTGAAAAAAACTCTCCAAATATATTCACAATTATTCTTTCACAAATATTTCAAATCTTGTACTATTTATTTTTAATACTAAATGTGCCCGTTTGATTAACGAGAGTGGACATTTCACACCTGGGTGCCACAACTATGATTAAAAAAAAAGCAGACATTTCGCGTATGGAACCCTAAATTAGAATTCAAGAAAACGGGTACTTTGATATCTGTATGCTAACATGTATGCTAACATCTGGACTCGAAATCTGATCATGAAAAGTTTAATATTAGACTTCGAATCTTTGAATTGAAAAAAAAATTATTATATAATAGAACTAGCAAGGAAAACACAAAAAACAAAATGGAAACAAATTATTATCTTAAAACATGAGATAATTACTCAGCAAACCAAAATATTGCAGCTGCATTGCCGTAACATTGCTGCAATATTCTGTGTTTGCTGGGTACATTAATTGTTTGGAAAATTTAATCAGCTTAGAAAGCAAATTGTCGATACAAGACATTTAAAAAGATGTACATAGTTATAATGCTGGAGAGTAAAAAATTTTCTCGTCTCAGCAAATCTTGGATTTTATAAAATATTGTATTGAACTCTGAAAAGATGACAATCAGATGACATTTAGCGCTAAAAGTGTACGCTATTGATTCTAAACCGTTCTACCAGCCATGTTTATTAAAGAGACATAGAAAAATAGAAATCTTATATCTTCTCGTATCGTATGATAACCGCCGCGGGCGACATTTTAATCGTTCCCAGAAGCTTTGCTTTCCCGGGTACCGCTTTTCTTCCGGTTACCGTCTTCTCTTTCCCGCGCGTTTTCTTTAGCCTGTCCGAGGCTCTTGGAAAAGTTCAATCCGAAGTGCTGCCGGTGACACTCTCCGACGAGTTAGCGGGCGTGCTCCAAGCACGCTTTTGTATTACTTTGCATCGGTCGCCGTTGTGTCCGCGTCAACTAGACTTAAAGTCTGCGCCCGTAAAAGGGAACGAGAATATCGCGGGCCTTCAAAAACACCATCGGCTTTTCAAAGACTTTAGCGTTCTCCTATGTCTTTCCGCTCTTATTGAGTTCTCCGCAGCATCACGCTCGATACACTTTCCTTTGTATTGCGAAAGAGGGAAAGAGGAAGAGAGAAACAAAATTTAAAAATTCTATACATTTCTCAATTATTATATATTGTTAAATTGTTATATTATGTCATATTGTTATATTGTTAAATCTGTTAATTTGCGGAATTTTAACAGATTCAAAAAGCATGGAAAAATATAGTTTCCTAACATTTTAAGAGTTATTCTACATCGCAGATACCTGCACACGATGTTAGTAACAGTTTCAAAGATTTTTTTACAAGTTATGTTAAAAAGAATAGATATGTTGCATCCGTTATCAAATTTGCAGTCAGCCCAAAACTATTTTCGGTGATGGCACACGTGTTCCACGACTGGTAGAAACAAGCCTTGTTATGCTTGTGTCAACAAAGGACGCGTGTTCCTCCCAGAGGCGTGTGCTGCATGCGCGTGCGACGCGCTGGAAGAATGAAAGTAAATATCGAGCGTGCGGCGCAGGTGGACCGGATAAGATTAAACAGCTGTTTCCGCGTTTTATCGGGAGTGCAGTTAACCGCCACGACCGATTCTCCCGCTTCGCCTCTTCCTCTCTCCCCCCCCCCCTCCATTCTCTTCCACGAAATGCATTCTTCTCAGGCGTGTTAGCACGCACGTGCAATACCCGCAATAACGGCAAATGAATTACGCAAGCAGTTGGGACGGGACCTTTAAGAGAGAATAGTTTCCACTAAAACGCGCGCGATAAACTCTACGCGAAATATCTCCAATATTTCCTATCTCATTCCGTTATACGTTTTCACGTATCTTTTTTATACATTTTTGTTGTGTGTATATCGTAATATGGAAAAGATAAAATAAAAAACAATTCAAGCAAGTCATTCATTAGATAGATAATTTTAAAAGCGAGACTACAAATAAAAATATTTATTTATAAAGCTAATAAAACTGTTTTTTCATCTCATTACTAATTCTATTAAATATATAATTTAATACGGAAACATATACATATTATAATACATATACATATAATTTCATATGAATGTAATTATAATAAATATAAATATAATTAAACGAAATTTAAAAAACATTAATGTAAAATAAAAGTGACTAGAAATATTTTTCAATCGTTCTAGTCATCTTTAAAAGACTTTGCGAGATATTCTATACGACTGAAATTAATGTCTATGATACATCGTGCACATGACATGACGTATCAAGTTTAATTATACGTAAATCGTCAAAATGAATGTTCTGCAAATACGTCGCGATCTTTTTAGGATTTTATCTCGCGATATCGCCGCGAGAAAAGAAAGAAAGCAAGAGACAGAATGGATAGAAAACAGCTGAAGCGCAGCTGGTTTCTGGCATCGCGACGGCTGGCGTCTCCTTCGCGCGCACGCATGGAGCGTCGCGCTCTTTGCATGTGCGTGTGTATAGCACAAACCATCGATGGTAGAAAGCAGAGCCAGAAAGAGAGTCGATTTCCAACAATATTTTACGCGGGACGATAACAAACCGCAAGAAGAAAAATTAACATTCGCAACCGGTGATCCGATTCTCTAACACTTTTCGGAGATTCCATTAATCTGTAAATAATTACGATCGTTGCGTGTCCTGGTTACAGCACGAGGGATTACGCCGCGCCTTCGAAGAATCCGGGGGAAGTGAAGATTGTAGAGCAAATATTTGAAATTGAGGCAAGAACATGCGAATAAACTTAAACGAAAAAATGTAATCTAGCTTCGCAGAATCTACTTTTAAACTTTCGTAAAAGTTACTTCGAAAAAAAAAAATAGAGGAATGATTTCGATTCTGAAGTAAAAGGAATTTCCAAATTATGCAATATAACATCGGTTGCTATTTATATTAAAAAATATATGAATATAAATCCATGTATAAATATCAATATATTTGCATTAAAAAATTATATCATCCTTTAGAGCTAACGATTCAAAAAAGGAAACGCACGACTTCTGGTATATCCGATGAAGCCAAGATTTCACTGTACGTCTCATAGCGTCGAACACGTGCAGTGGACATTTCGAATGTCTTCCTCCTGAATTAACACGCTAAAAGAAGTCACGTGAATCTTTCCAGACGTCACGCCGACTAAGTATAGCGACCCTGCGCGGATGCAGCCGTGAAAAGCATTCGCATTAATCTCGGCGCCACCTTTGCCAGCCGGACGAACGAAATATTTCACGACGACGACGGCTGCGTCTTCGCTAATGAAACGCCCCAGGTGGCTCGGTGGCCGATGGCGAATCTCGACTCGACTTGATTCGCGAATTAAGCTCCCGGCTGTCCACAAGGATGCTCTCTCCCTCCTCGCTTTTTCTTCCTTTCTCTCTCTCATTTATCTCAGTTATCTCGCTCGCACACTCTCACCGGAATGGAATTGATCAACATCGCTGTACCGTGTGTACAAAGAATTTATTTTGCTCACATTGACAATATTCACAAGCCCGCAACTTACACAATGATATCGAGATATGATGTGTACAGCTTCGATCTCGATATACCGATTCTCTCGTTGCCGATTGATTGATTGATCGTTTGACTAGCAAGCAACACGGAGTGTGGTGCATGAATCCGATTTTGGGGATGGGAAGAAACGGAGAGGGGGGGCATTATTATAATAAACATTTTCATTCGCTCTCACTCTCTCTCTCTTTCTCTCCCTCCCCTATCTCTCTCTTTCTCTCATTTATATTGCTCGGCTTTTTTTTTAGCCGGTGTCGGACGTACAGGATGACGTGTCGGCGTTACTGTGATCGTTGTTGCTCTCCGTCGACGAACTGTCGTTACTCTTTATTCGCCGTTTGCGCAGCTTCGCGAACTGAAACTCCTCGACCGGCACTGTACACCAACAATGGAAGTCATTAGTCTTCTGGCTAATTACCGCTGTTTGCAATTTCTTTTTTTATCTTTTTTTTTTACAGATAGGATAGGAATAAAAAACTTGATAAGTCGGGATAAGTCGGATGATCAAATCGCAACGTGTGCAGTAGAACGGGAACAAAGAACACGTATATATTTCTCTCTTTCTCTCTCGAGCGACCGAAACAATCTTTACAATGTAAATCGCATCATCTTACAATAAAAATGCGCATACAACGAATTTATTTGCGTGAGACCGAGACTTCAGTTTGCGAGATGCAGAATCATCACGCACCGTCTAAGATGTTAATGAGTCGGAAATGATCTCAGATTCTGATCGAACGGCAACGCATACCCCTTTATTTCAATGAAACCGCGATGTGCATCGATTTAATTTAATCTTTTAGCTAAACTATATGTCCCTATGTAAGTTTTAAGTCGCATCATGGATTGTGTGCGCGAGACTGTTTCTCGATCAAACTATAAATCGTTATATATGTACCTACCAAAGTAGATTGAAACTCTGTGTGCGACGAGGTAGACACGAACGATCTTTATTTACAATAATGCACTATATAACACATGAACAAGCTTTCTTTGCTGTGCGCTGCGAGAAGCAATAAATCGACCATCGTACATCGAAAGCATGTTGTTATGCGATATGTACATACTTACGCGACAAGTCGATGAATACGTAATGAAGAGAGGATATGTAAAGTAGTAAACTTCCGTACTTAATGCGTCATCATCGTATTAATGCGTCTCTAACGTATACATAATATTTTAATATCTAACACAACGCATTTCTCACTCATTCGTGATTAAAAGAAAAAAAAAATTACTTGGGTTAATATTTTATGTCATTAATTTCTGCAAATCATTTAGTATATATATGGAAATTTACTCTTTGTACCATTCAAACTTGCGTCAGTAATATGACGATTAAACTTTTACATGCGAATAATAACCAAAACTTGCGGAAATAATCGGAAAGTATCGAAACGCCGTTGCAATTGATATTCTACAGCGGTTTTGTACTAACGTTTTTTTCACGAGAGAGAAAGTGCATAAATTGTCAGGTAAAGCGCAATCTTAAGAAGCGACATCGCTTCTCGTTAACATCGATTTCTAATAGAAATACTCTCTTCAAAATACTCTTTTTATATGCATTCTCATATAGAGATAATGTACTTACATATACATCTCACAACAATAAAATCATCTGAGTATTTAAACAATTGGTTCAGACTAAACAGGTCTCTTTCTTTAGTCCCTTACAACAAAGCATAGATACGCTTGATTCATCTCCGCCAATATACATATCAGAAATGTGATGTGTTACCTGAATTAACCGCCCGTTTGTTCCATAGGTAATTTTCAGTAATTTACATTTGAACATTCATCGAAAAATCAGATTTACTCTTTAGCGATATGACTATTTTTAGTGGAGGTTTCATTACCATCTGAATCGGGATCTCGATCGGCAGCACCTTGAACGGATGGCAATGGCACAATTTCCGGTTCGAGAGGCTTTACCGGGCAATCAACATCCTCTACAATGACTTCCTCCGCCAAACTGCTTCTTACTGCCTCTGCGTATTTACAATAGAACAAGTTATATATACCTTATTAATTATATATACCTTTTTCTTTGTAGTTTCTCATTAAGACTATTATATAATTTATTATATAATTAATTATACCATTAAATGCCTGTGGATACTGTTGACTCAATTTATTCTTTACTAAACGAATTCTTTTGAAAATATAATCCAAATCTTTCTTCATCTCAATTAAAAGTGTGATGTGCTTTTTGAATTCAGTGCCAGCTGTTTTAAGTCGGTGTACCGACAATTGATTACAATTGGTCAACATCTCATTAGTTTTTTCAAACCTTTGCAGCCTGTAATATATATTTTTGTAAAATATGCAAAAAAGAAAAATTACAAATTAATAAATTATACAAGTATATTAATAAAATATACAAGTATATAAGTCAAAGATAAAACTCACATCTGTTTTTGAGCACGTATCATAGATTCTACATCCTGCTGGTCAACAATGCCAGCTAGGCCTTGTACAAATACTTCTGGAGCTGTATAGTTTCTGAAACACTCAAAACTCCCGGTATCCGACTCCGGTGTATCTTGTGCCGCTGCCATAGTTTTATTATTTCAAAGCTATCAAGCTTCGAATTTACTTTCATCATCAAATAATTCCATCACGCAGTTGTGCCTGATCAGCAAGAATTGAATTACATAAAATCGCTCATTTCTACGAAATTTTTGTTGATGCATCTATTTTGGATGACTCACATGATGAATACTACGTATTACACACATCCAGATTGCACCTGCCCACATATTTCTTCCAACACGTCATAGTAAGAGAAAAAATGTCACCGATCGATATCTTGCGATAATACCTCTATCGAGCTTTTTGCTTCGTCATTACTTCAATGTTCTCGCATTTTTTTTCCAAACGTGTTCTAAACGAAATATTCAAGGACGATATCTAGTTAAAGACGGTCTAACCAAACGACGACGAAGTTATCGATTTCACTGAATAACATTTGATATGACATTGATATTTTCCTGCGATATTATTGACAGCGCGAAAGAGGAATATACGGCTTTTTGTACGTGATATTAGATAAATCGTACCATTTAAAATCCGCGAAGGAACATGCGAAATCGACAGAGGCAGACACAGATAAAATCCACACGACGCGTCGCCGCTCGTCGGCGCAACAGCTGTTTTGCCGCTCGATGTTTTCGCGTCGGGCAGTAGAGCGCGTGTAACATTCAAATTTCCGTCCTGCTGTTGTGACCGTCAACGAGTCGAGAAAATTCGCGCTCCGCGAGGAGGATATCTCTCGTTCGATTCTCACTGAAAGTTTGCTCAGGATGGCACAAAACGTGAACCCTTTCAGTTCGACACAAAACACGCCAACAAAGGCGGCTGAGGAGAAGCAGAGCTTGCCGAAAGATAATCATGCAGTCAGCAAACGGTATGTGCAATCGAGTCCGTTGGCAGGACGCTTTAAACGCGAGTTGACTTATTTTGTCCTTCCTCGGATGAATAAAGTCAACTGTCAAACTATCAAAAAAATTGTTATAGATTGTCTAGAAAGTTATAGCATGATTAATATAGCGTTTTTTCTCTGTGAATTATATAACCTAACGGATTATTACATGGTCAATTGACGCTAATTGAATATTGTTCATCGGAAATAACTTGTGAAATTTGCTCTTTTAATATTTTATCTTTCCTTCACTATGACTAGCTTGTGCAATATACATACTTTATTATCTGATAAAAATATTGCTATTAAAATGTAACATTGTTTAGATTGCAAAAGGAACTCATGGTACTAATGATGAGCACTGAGCAAGGAGTATCTGCCTTCCCAGAGGGAGAAAACTTATTTAAATGGATTGGGACTATCACAGGACCAAGAGACACAGTAAGAAATTAATAAACTATCCTGTCAGCACACTTTAAATAGTGTTGTTAATATTGCAATATACCAGCAAGAGAAGATGTAATGTTCATATATTATAGGTATATGCTGGTCTCACCTACAAATTGACTTTAGAGTTTCCACATAGTTATCCATATAGCGCTCCTATAGTACGCTTTGCTACACCTTGCTTTCACCCAAATGTAGATACCGGTGGTAATATCTGTTTGGATATATTAAAAGATAAGTGGAGTGCATTGTACGATGTGCGTACTATTTTACTTTCTATACAATCCCTTCTTGGTGGTAAGTAATAAAACAATAGATTCATATTATATGATAAATCAATACGATATTAATTTAAATTACTTTTTGTTTTGTATATAGAACCTAATAATGAAAGCCCACTTAATCTCGAAGCAGCAGAGCTATGGAATAATCAGACGAAATATAAAAAGTATCTGATGGAAGAATATCACAGAGCATTTGATCGAGCACAGAGCAATCGTAATCAACAAGATTCATGATAAGCCATAATTTACTGTAATCTACATTTTGTGACGCATTTAATATTATTATTCCTATCAAAGATAGGGTTAAATGTAATATTAAAATAGAATTTTCTGTACTTCTTTTAAGAATCATTAAGTACTGTTAAGTTAAAATTTTCTTCTTTTGGCTATAACAAAATTTTTTAAGAATTATGAGGATGTTGCATAACATTTAATTCATATTTCGCAAGATTTTTAAAAACTTTTGTAAGAGCAATATATATATATATAAATTCATGTATCACTGATATTAGGAAAATTGCACAAGAATTGCATTTATTTATTTTTATCGTGTAGAGACATTGGATTTTTGATTATTAATGCCATTGCTCATATTTTACACATACAGTATTTGCACTTGATATTTGTGTGTTTCCATTTTTACCATTACTGTATAGTTCTTGAAAATAAATATTTTAATGATCTTACAGTCATTCAATTCGCAATTCCCTTCAAAATATGTAATTTAACATTAATTTTTTATTTGATGTACTATTTTTTCAATATGACAATATATATAGTACACATACAATAAAATATTTTAATACATAATATATTTTAATATTTTAATACATAATTGATATTATATAGAAAATAAATAAATAAAATTTATAACAGAAAAAGAAAGATTATATCAACAGAAAAATAGAAGTATATATTTGTGTGTTAATTTTATATGAACCTCGCGATTAATACGCGAATTTTCCGCCAAAAATTTCTTTATATATTTTTTAAGTGATTTTTAGAAGCTTGTATATTTCATTTAATCATTTATAAACTCTCAAAATAATTTTATCCTTTCTACTTTCTGCTTTTGTGCTGATGATATTAAAAATTTATATTAATATTTATATCAAATATTTACATATCAGCTGCTATGGATAGCATTTTCATATTTAAACTGTGTACCATCACGACCACAAAACGATAAAATTGATGTACATATACTGCTTTTAGCGACATACCGCGGCTCATTCGTAACTGCCAATGACTCATGAATTGTACAATGTGGACAAACATGTGTTTAGTCAATACATGCAGAATGATAGAGTCCAGAGGTATGGCTCTGTCCATTCGACAATTGTCAACGATGGCGAATAAAACTCATGAGATTGAGGTATGTAAAGAGAAATATTCCGAATAAAAAATAAGAGAAATGGCAGATTGTTATTTGCTGTTTCATTGAGCTGCCATCTTTGGACTTTTATAATCCTAATTAAAAGGAGTATCTTTAAAAGGAACGAAAAATCAAAGTAGACGGCACGGAAATAAATTATGCCAGAGTCGGCAGAGGTAATCATCCGATATTATTATTACCTGGCGCACTAGGTAAGTACACATAATAATAAATGTATACATGCTGAGGAGAGAGAGTTTCGGAGCACAAATTCGCTTTTCTTGATACTTGCTGCCATCTACCGGGTGTGATTATTACGTACACGAATATTTAAATATTTGTTCGATGGAAGACAAAGGACAGCTTTTATTCCTGCATCAGTTTTAGCTCAGTGATTTAAAAAATATAACATACTTAAAATTGTTTTCCCGCCAAATAATCTTAATCATCTTGTTTTATCGCTTCGTTATCATTTTATTACTTATTATTTTATTTTTCTTGCTATTATTAATGCTATTATCAATTTTATTTATAATAAAATTGCCGCGTTTCTTGCATTATTGTAATTGATACCAAGAAATAAGTAGCATGTAAACTTGCATTTCTTGCGTTATTGTAAATAATTGATAACAACAAAGATGATAACAAGAAAGAAATAATATGTATATATTTGTACATATACTATGTATATAAATTTTAGTTGTCTTTTTTCTTATTTCTTATTATAAAATTTTATTACCGTTTTTTAATTATTCTGCTATCAATATTTCCTGTTTCTTATTCTGCTATCAATATAAAAAAATGCGGTGAATAATTGTTAAATTCTCGATAAAAGTTGGCATAAATTAATACGTTATTTATGTAATTTTGGAATTAGAATGATTGCAGATATAAAAATTTATTATCTATTAAACTGTATGCATTTCAGGAACGATATGGACTGATTTTAAGCCGCAAATCGAAAATCTAAACGCGGACAAGCTGACCATAGTGGCGTGGGATCCACCCGGTTATGGAAAGTCGCGACCACCCGATAGGACTTTCCCGGATAATTTTTTTCAGCGTGATGCTTCATGGGCTCACAATCTGATGCAGACTCTGGGTTATTCGAAATTTTCTTTGATCGGTTGGAGCGATGGAGGAATCACATCGCTTCTGCTTGCCTCAACATATCCCGAGAGTATTTCTAAGATAATAGTTTTTGGTGCGAACGCTTATATACATCCGGACGAGATAAAAATATATGAAAGTACGACTTTATCTCATTTGCAATATCTGAAACTAAGAATATTTCTTATTGCCTACTTTTTAATAATAATATAATTTATGTTAATAAAATTTATGTCAAAGTTCGTAAAAAATATCAAAATTTGCCAAGATTTGAAGAAATCATTAAATTTTCGAAGATTCACAAAAAATCAAAATTTCAACAAATATTAATATTTTAATTAGCTAAAATTGATTAAAAAATAGAATATTTTGTTATTGCTTTATCGAGATTAAATATTTCGTTATAATAATTGTATTAAATATTTCGCTTCTTTTTTGCTCGGATAAATCTGCATAAAATTACTACATCTAGGCATCAGAGACATCAACAAGTGGTCGGAAAGAATGAGGACACCTATGATACAAGTTTATGGTGAAGATTATTTCAGAAAGACTTGGTCGGATTGGATAGATGCTATGTTACGATTGTATAAAAAGCAAAATGGTAACTTGTGCAAAGAAATTTTATCGAAAATAAAGTGTCCGACATTGATTATTCACGGAGCTAAAGATGCAATGGTCTTACCAGAACATCCGACGTATCTAAAGCAAAATATCGCCAATTCAAAGTTTGTATCTCTTTATAGACTTGAAAAAATTAAGATCACCTATGAAATTTTTTTATTACATATAATTTTTCTTGTATTGCAGCGTGCATATTTTAGAAAAGGGCGGACATAATCTTCATTTAAGATATTTTGAAGAATTCAATAATTTGGTGACGGATTTCTTGCTGGAACAATCGAAAATATAATAAATTTGTTGTAATATTAGTAATATATTTTTATGTATTATATATATATAGTGATAGAGATTTATACATTTTATATAACCTTTATGAGAAACAGAGCAGTTTATTATTTTATATTATTGTATGCATATTGAATTAACAATAATTATTTCTATGGTGTAATAAAAATATATATTATGTATTATTATTATTAAATTATTTAATATTATTATTGTTAAAATGTATGTGTGTGTGTGTGTGATAATAAAATAGGCATTAGAAAATTATTAATGATGTATTCTAAAACAGATAACAAATGGATCATAATATTTCATAATATTTTGCATCTACACAATAGTTTGATGGGAAATATATTTGGTAAACTGCAGCAAAAATTATAGCTGCATCTTTTTATAATGCAACTTTTTATCACATATTTATAATACATATTCTAAAATATTTTCGTATTTACTTAGGGCTATTCTATAGCATAAATATAATTAAATGAATTGGACTATATTTAAAACAAATAAAAACCTATAAGTGACATTAAAAGATTGTATAAAGAATACTTGAATTTTTAAGGAAATCTATAAACCTTTTTTAAACAGAGTTTTAAATATAAAAATGCATTTCTTTTTATTAAATATTTTTTCCATTCTATTTTTTTACATATATATTATAGGATATTGAGAACAATTTGCATTATCAAAGAGAGTAATTAATACGAACTAGCGTGTACTCTCTCTGTGTGTGAGTTGTGTCGCTTTGCGATATGTATATGAGCTGGGGATATGTCTAAAAATTAAAGTTGCTAACGTATTCACGCGGGTTTATTGAGTTCTCTTCAATCTCTCTTCAAACAGTTATCAAGTAAGATACAGATTTGACATATATAATATTAAATATAAAAAAATATGGAAAGAAGATTATTATTTATATTTATAACTTGTATTCCGATTGCCTGTATTATCAGTGCAGTTTTAGTAAGTATACAATTATATAAATTATATATTTATATTACGCCCCTAATAATACCTCATCAATAATAAAACATAGGATAAAAAATAAGTTCACCATAAATGATTAAATAAAAAGTGCGATTTTATCGACACCGAATTTTATCTTGATATTTCCTACACATGATATTCACTGGTGGTCCATATAATCTCCATACCTCTATGTGACCTATATCTCCACGGTGGATGTTCAATGGATCTCCCCGTTCTACAATGAGTCGTAAGTCGTAGGCAAATTAACTAATCATGGTTGATTATTTTTGAAATAATCAACCATGATTGATCAATTTGTCTACGACTTACGAGTTACGACTCATTGTAGATCCGGCTTAATAGAAATCCATATTATTTCCATGGTAGATGCCGTCTGTAAATCCATCATGGATGTCCATTAGACATCGGTTATGGATGTGAGCACATGATAAATGTGTACACATTTCTCTTAACATAAACTAAAAATGTAATTTCTAAGTATTATTTAAAATTCTCACTTAGTATTTTGAGAATATATTTAAAATTTGTAGTATTCTATATTTTATTTTTAGCATTTTTAAAAATTTATACAAAATTTACAAAATACTAAAAAGATTTGCTTACAAAATTTACAAAATACTAAAAAGATTTGCTTTGATAATAAAATTTTTTTACATAATTTATAATATGTGTTAATTATTATATTAGAAAATGGAAAATTTTTAATTTTGTAATTAAATCTAGCTGTAATTAAAGATAGCTAAATTTATTATATATAATTGTATTTCGTAAAATTAGCTTGTTAATATAATTATTTTTATTATTTTTACAAAAATAAATAAAATACATTAAACAATTTTTATCTAAACAAATTATGTTTTTCATCTCTCTCTCTTAATTACTTTTCCTAATATTTGTAAATAGAAATTAATATAGTTTTTGTAATAATTATATATATCCCAGGTAGTAGAAATTCGTTTCAAAAACGGTTTACAAATTTCTTTAAAACGTTCCAATCGACTCCTGAAAATGTTTCTGATTAGTTAAAATGTTCACTTGAAGAACGATAAGAGATACGTTTCTTTTCTGATAAAAAATGTTTTTAAAATAACAATACGTTTTTTTTTTCTAATAAAAAAACGTTTTTAAAATAAGAAAACGTTTTGTTTCTGATAAAAAAATGTTTTCAAAATAAAAACCGTTTAAAAAATACGTTTAAAATACGATTTTTTTCTTTTATTCGTTAAACTTTAAATAATATTATAGCACTGTCAATAATATTTTACTGAGAAATCTTTCACTGAAATATTATTAATTTACAGTGCTATAATAACTTAAAACTTGTATCAGCGACTCTGTTTACTATTTTCAGTGATAATATACTGATTCATTTAGAGAGTGTGTATGTATTATTTTATTAATGTATTATTTTATTAATTCCATAAAAATCAAACGTTTAACGAATAAAAGAGAAAATATATTTTAAACGTATTTTAAACATTTTTTAAACGTTTTTTTATCAAAACAGAAATGTATCTCTTAATGTTCTTCAAGTGGACATTTTAATCAATTAGAAACATTTTCAAGAGTCGATTATGAAACGTTTTAAAGAAATTTATGAGACATTTATGAAACATTTTTGAAACAAATATGGGGGCTACCTGGGGCTCTAATTGTCTATATGATGTACATATGACGTTCAGAAACGAATTTTTATAATCCCTAGTTAATGTTTATATGATGAGACGTCCAAGTAACATCTATGAATACGTCTAATGAATGTCGAATAAAAGTAAGAAATGCGGAACTATGTATCTCTAATAGAACATCTGTAGGACATTGCATGGACATCTGATAGAGAGGTTTCGAATCTCCATAATGGACGTCTACTGGACATCCATTAGAGATTTTTGTTCCGTGTGGGTTGTGTGTTTTCATTATTATTGTATAGTTCTTGAAAACAAATATTTTAATGATCGTACAGTCCTTCAATTCGCAATTCCCTTCAAAATAATATAATTTAATATTAATTTTTTACTTGATGTACTATTTTTTTCAATATGACAATGTATAGTACACATACAATAAAATATTATTTCAATACATAATTCAACACATACATAGAAAACATTACATAGAAAATAAATAAATAAAATTTGTAACAAAAAAAGAAAGATTATATCTATATTAATAGAAAAATAGAAGTGTATTTGTGTGTCAAATTTATATATGAACCTTGCAATTAATACGCTAATTTTCCGTCAAAAATTCCTTTATATATTTTATATATTTTTTAAGTAATTTTTATAAGCTTGTATATTTAATTTAATCATTTATAAACTCTCAAAATAATTTTATCCTTCCTACTTTCTGCTTTTATGTTGATGATATTAATAATTTATATTAATATTTATATATATTAATATTTATAATATTTATATTATATATTTACATATCAGCTGCTATGAATAACATTTTCATATTTAAACTGTGTATCATCGTATTACGACGATAAAAAAACGATAAAATTGTACATATACTGCTTTTAGTGACATACCGCGGTTCATTCGTAGTTGCCAATGACTCGTGAATTGTACAATGTGGACAAACATGTGTTTAGTCAATACATGCAGAATGATAGAGTCCAGAGGTATGGCTCTGTCCATTCGACAATTGTCAACGATAGCAAATAAAACTCGTAAAATTGAGGTATGTAAAGAAAAATATTCCGAATAAAAAATAACAGAAATGGCAGATTATTTGCTGTTTCATTGAGCTGCCATCTTTGGACTTTTATATTCCTAATTAAAAGGAGTATCGTTTAAAAGGAACGAAAAATCAAAATAGACGGCACGGAAATAAATTATGCCAGAGTCGGCAGAGGCAATCATCCGGTATTATTATTACCTGGCACGCTAGGTAAGTACACATAATAATATAACGTATACATGCTGAGGAGAGATACGTTTCGGAGCACAAATTCGCTTTCCTTCATAGTTGGTGCCATCTATTGGGGGTGTGATTATTACATACACGAATATTTAAATATTTGTTCGATGGAAGACAAAGGACAGCTTTTATTCTTGCATCAGTTTCAGCTTAGTGATTTAAAAAATATGACATATTTAAAATTGTTTTCCCGCCAAATAATCTTAATCATCTTGTTTTATCGCTTCGTTATCATTTTATTACTTATTATTTTATTTTTCTTGCTATTATTAATGCTATTATCAATTGTATTTATAATAAAATTGCCGCGTTTCTTGCATTATTGTAATTGATACCAAGAAATAAGTAGCATGTAAACTTGCATTTCTTGCGTTATTGCAAATAATTGATAACAACAAAGATGATAACAAGAAAGAAATAATATGTATATATTTGTACATATACTATGTATATAAATTTTAGTTGTCTTTTTTCTTATTTCTTATTATAAAATTTTATTACCGTTTTTTAATTATTCTGCTATCAATATTTCCTGCTTCTTATTCTGCTATCAATATAAAAAAATGCGGTGGATAATTGTTAAATTCTCGATAAAAGTTGGCATAAATTAATAATTGTTATTTATGTAATTTTGGAATTAGAATGATTGCAGATATAAAAATTTATTATCTATTAATTATCTATTAAACTGTATGCATTTCAGGAACGATATGGACTGATTTTAAGCCGCAAATCGAAAATCTAAACGCGAACAAGCTGACCATAGTGGCGTGGGATCCACCCGGTTATGGAAAGTCGCGACCACCCGATAGGACTTTCCCGGATAATTTTTTTCAGCGTGATGCTTCATGGGCTCACAATCTGATGCAGACTCTGGGTTATTCGAAATTTTCTTTGATCGGTTGGAGCGGTGGAGGAATCTCATCGCTTCTGCTTGCCTCAACATATCCCGAGAGTATTTCTAAGATAATAGTTTTTGGTGCGAACGTTTATATACATCCGGACGAGATAAAAATATATGAAAGTACGACTTTATCTCATTTGCAATATCTGAAACTAAGAATATTTCTTATTGCCTACTTTTTAATAATAATATAATTTATGTTAATAAAATTTATGTCAAAGTTCGTAAAAAATATCAAAATTTGACAAGATTTGAAGAAATCATTAAATTTTCGAAGATTCGCAAGAAATCAAAATTTCAACAAATATTAATATTTTAATTAGCTAAAATTTATTAAAAAATAGAATATTTTATTATTACTTTATCGAGATTAAAAATTTCGTTATAATATTTCCATTAAATATTTCGCTTCTTTTTTGCTCGGATAAATCTGTATAAAATGTTACTATATCTAGACATCAGAGACATCAACAAGTGGTCGGAAAGAATGAGGACACCGTTGATACAAGTTTATGGCGAGGATTATTTCAGAAAGACTTGGTCGGATTGGCTAGATGCTATATTACGACTGTATAAAAAGCAAAATGGTAACTTGTGCAAAGAAATTTTATCGAAAATAAAGTGTCCGACATTGATTATTCACGGAGCTAAAGATGCAATGGTCTTACCAGAACATCCGACATATCTAAAACAAAATATCGCCAATTCAAAGTTTGTATCTCTTTATAGATTTGAAAAAATTAAGATCACCTACGAAATTTTTTTATTACATATAATTGTTCTTGTATTGCAGCGTGCATATTTTAGAAAACGGCGGGCATAATCTTCATTTAAAATATTTTGAAGAATTCAATAATTTGGTGACGGATTTCTTGCTGGATCAATCGAAAATATAATAAATTTGTTGTAATATTGATAATATATTTTTATGTATTATATATATATATATATATATATATATATATATATATATATATATATAGTGATAGAGATTTATATATTTTATATAACCTTTATGAGAAACAGAGCAGTTTATTATTTTATATTATTGTATGCATATTGAATTAACAGTAATTATTTCTATGGTGTAATAAAAATATATATTATGTATTATTATTATTAAATTATTTAATATTATTATTGTTAAAATGTATGTGTGTGTGTGTGTGTGTGATAATAAAATAGGCATTAGAAAATTATTAATGATGTATTCTAAAATAGATAACAAATGGATCATAATATTTCATAATATTTACATCTACACAATAGTTTGATGGGAAATATATTTGGTAAACTGCAGCAAAAATTATAGCTGCATCTTTTTATAATGCAACTTTCTATCACATATTTATAATACATATTCTAAAATAATTTTATATTTACTTAGGGCTCATTCTATAGCATAAATATAATTAAATGAATTGGACTAGATTTGAAACAAATAAAAACTTATAAGTGACATTAAAAGATTGTATAAAGAATACTTGAATTTTTAAGGAAATCTATAAAGCTTTTTTAAACAGAGTTTTAAATATAAAAATGCATTTCTTTTTATTAAATATTTTTTCCATTCTACTTTTTTACATATATATTATAAGATATTGAGAACAATTTGCATTATCAACGAGAGTAATTAATACGAACTAGCGGTGCGCTGTCGTATTCCCTTTGTGTGTGAGTTGTGTCGCTTTGCGATATGTATATGAGCTGGGTCTAAAAATTGTATCTAAAAATTAAAGTTGCTAACGTATTCACGCGAGTTTATTGAATTCTCTTCAATCTCTCTTCAAACAGTTATTAAGTAAGATACAGATTTAACATATATAATATTAAATATAAAAAAATATGGAAAGAAGATTATTATATTTATAACTTGTATTCCGAGTGCATGTATTATCAGTGCAGTTTTAGTACAATTATATAAATTATATATTTATATTACGTCCCTAATAAAAAATAAGTTCACCATAAATGATTAAATAAAAAGTGCGATTTTATCGACACCGAATTTTATCTTGATATTTCCTACGCGGAGCATGATATTCACTGGAGGTCCATATAAATCCATAAATCTCCATAAATGTGTACACATTTCTCTTAACATAAACTAAAAATGTAATTTCGAAGTATTATTTAAAATTCTCACCTAGTATTTTGAGAATATATTTAAAATTTGTAGTATTCTATATTTTATTTTTAACATTTTTAAAAATTTATACAAAATTTAAATTTTTATTAAAAATTTTTAATAAACTTTAAATATCTCTATAATTAACAAAAATTTAAATACTAAAAAGATTTGCTTTGATGATAAAATTTTTTTACATAATTTATAATATGTATTAATTATTATATTAGAAAATAGAATATCTTTAATTTTTTAATTAAATCTAAAGATAGCTAAATTTATTATATATAATTGTATTTCGTAAAATTAGCTCTTGTTAATATAATTATTTTTATTATTTTTACAAAAATAAATAAAATATATTAAACAATTTATATCTAAACAAATTATGTTTTTCATGTGTGTGTGTGTGTGTGTGTGTGTGTGTGTGTGTGTGTGTGTGTGTGTGTGTGTGTGTGTGTGTGTGTGTGTGTGTCTGTGTGTGTGTGTGTGTTAATTACTTTTCCTAATATTTGTAAATAGAAATTAATATAGTTTTTGTAATAATTATATATATATCCCAGGTAGTACAAATTCGTTTCAAAAACAGTTCATAAGTTTCTTTAAAACGTACTTCAAGGACATTTTAACCAATTAAAAACATTTTCAAGAGTCGCTTATGAAATGTCTTAAAGAAATTTAAGAGACATTTGTGAAACATTTTTTAAACAAATATGAGGGCTACCTGGGGCTCTAATTATCTATATGATGTCCATATGACGTTCAGAAACGAATTTTTATAATCCCTAATTAATGTCTATATGACTTCCAAGTGGCATTTATAAATACATCTGATGGATGTCGAATAGAAGTAAGAAATGCGGAACTATGGATCTCTAACAGAACGTCTATAGGAGATTGCATGGACATCTGATAGAAGTTTCGAATCTCCATGCTGACGTTTACTGGACATCCATTAGAGATGTTTGTTCCGTATGGGTTGTGCGTTTTCATTATTATTGTATAATTTTTAAAAACAAATATTTTAATGATCGTACAGTCCTTCAATTCGCAATTCTCTCTTCAAAATAATATAATGTAATATTAATTTTTTTCTTGATGTATTATTTTTTTCAATATGACAATGTATAGTACACATACAATAAAATATTATTTCAATACGTAATTGGTATTACATAGAAAATAAATAAATAAAATTTGTAACAGAAAAAGAAAGATTATATCTATATTAACAGAAAAATAGAAGTGTATTTGTATGTCAATGTTATATAGACCTTGCAATTAATACGCTAACTTTCCATCAAAAATTCCTTTATATATTTTATATATTTTTTAAATAACCTTTATAAGCTTGTATATTTCATTTAATCATTTAAATTATCAAAATAATTTAAATCTTTCTATTTTCTGCTTTTATGTTGAAAATGTTAATAATTTATATCATATATTTAAATATCAGCTGATATAGATAGCATTTTTATATTTAAACTGTGTAGCATCGTATCACGACCACAAAACGATAAAATTGATGTACATATACTGCTTTTAGCGACATATCGTGGCTCATTCGTAGCTGCCAATGACTGCTCTGTCCATTTGACAATTGTCAACGATGGCGAATAAAACTCATGAGATTGAGGTATGTAAAGAGAAATATTATGAATGGAAAATGAGAGAAATGGCAGATTGTTATTTATTGTTTTATCATTGAACTACCATCTTTGGACTTTTATAATTCTAAATAAAAATATTATTTTAAAAGGAACGAAAAATGAAAATAGACGGCATGGAAATAAATTATGCCAGAGTCGACAGAGGTAACCATCCGGTATTATTGTTACCTGGCGCACTAGGTAAATACACATAATAATATAATGTATATATGCTGAGGAGAGATACGTTTTGGAACACAAATTCGCTTTCCTTCATCCTTATTGCATCAGTTTTAGCTTAGTGATTTGAAAAATATGACATACTTAGAATTGTTTTCCCGCCAAATAATTTTAATCATCTTGTTTCATCGCTTCGTTATCATTTTATTACTATTTTTCTCGCTATTATTAATGCTATTATGAATTTTATTTATAATAAAATTGCCTGCGTTGCTGGCATTATTGTAATTAATACCAAGAAACAATTAAGTAGTATGTAAACTTGCATTTCTTGCATTATTGTGAGTGATAATATAGATGTTAACAAAAAGCAAAAAATATGTATATATTTGTACATACACATACTATGTATATAAATTTTAGTTGTCTTTTTCCTTATTTCTTACTATAAAATTTTACCGTTTTTTAACTATTCTGCTTAATATTTTTCTGTTTTTTATTCTGTTATCATTATTTATAGTGATTTTATTCGAAATGTAATGGATAATTATTAAATACTTGATGAAATTTGGCATAAATTAATACGTTATTTGTGTAATTTTGGAATTAGAATGATTGCAAATGTAAAAATTTATTATCTATTAAACTGTATGTTTTTCAGGAACGATATGGACGGATTTTAAACCTCAGATCGAAAATCTAAACACGGACAAGCTGACTATAGTAGCGTGGGATCCACCCGGTAATGGAAAGTCGCGACCACCCGATAAGACTTTCCCGAATAATTTTTATCAGCGTAACGCTTCATTGGCTCACAATCTGATGCAGACTCTGGGTTATTCGAAATTTTCTTTGCTCGGTTGGTGCGATGGAGGAATCACATCGCTTCTGCTTGCCTCAACATATCCCGAGAGTATTCTTAAGATGATAGTTCTTGGTGCGAAAGCTTATATACATCCGGACGAGATAAAAATATATGAAAGTACTTTATCTCATTTGCAATATCTAAAACTAAGAATATTTTTTATTGCCTACTTTCTAATAATAATATAATTTATGTTAATAAAATTTACGTACAAGGTTCGTAAAAAATATCAAAATTTGCCAACATTTGAAGAAATCATTAAATTTTCGAAGATTCGCAAAAAATCAAAATTTCAACTGTCAAAAAATATTAATATTTTAATTAGCTAAAATATATTTAAAAAATAGAATATTTTGTTATTGCTTTATCGAGATTAAATATTTCGTTATAATATATATATTTGCATTAAATATTTCGTTTCTTTTTTGTTCGGATAAATCTACATAAAATGTTACTACATCTAGTCTACAGAGACATCAACAAGTGGTCGGAAAGAATGAGGACACCTATGATACAAGTTTATGGCGAAGATTATTTTAGAAAGACTTGGTCGGATTGGACAGATGCTATGTTACGATTGTATAAAAAACAAAATGGTAACTTGTGCAAAGAAGTTTTATCGAAAATAAAGTGTCCGACATTGATTATTCACGGAGCTAAAGATGAAGTGGTTTTACCAGAACATTCGACATATCTAGAGCAAAATATCGCCGATTCAACGTTTGTAGATCTCTTGCTGACTCTTTATAGATTTAAAAAAATTAAGATTACGAAATTTTTTTATTACATATAATGTTTCTTGTATTGCAGGGTGTATATTTTTGAAAAGGGCGGACACAATCCTCATTTAAAATATTTTGAAGAATTCAATAATTTGGTAACGGATTTCTTGCTGTGTCAATAGAAAATCTAATAAGTTGGTTGTAATATTGATAATGTATTTTTATGTATTGTATATATGATAATAGAGAGAAATTTATACATTTCATATAATCTTTATAAGAAACAGAGGAGTTTCTTATATTATATTTTATTGTACATATATTGAATTAATAATAATCATTTCAATATGGATGTATTAAAAATATATATTATGTATTATTATTATTAAATTCCAATGTGTTTGTATGTGTGATAATAAAACAGACATTAGAAAATTATTAATGACAAATTCTAAACCAGATCACAAATGGATCAGAAATTATTATTTTTTAATATTTGCATCTACACAATAGTTTGATAGAAAATATATTATGCAACAATTAGAGAGTTGCATCTTTTTATAACACCACTTTTTATCACATATTTATAATACATATTCTAAAATATTTTTATATTTACTTAGATAGAGCTCATTCTAGTATAAATATAATTAATGGAATTGGACTAGATTTGAAACAAATAAAAACCTATAAATGACATTAAAAGATTCTATAAAAAATATTTGAATTTTTATAAAGAAATTTATAAAGTATAAGTCTTTCCTAAACAAATTTTTAAATGTAAAAATGCATTTCCTTTCATTAAATATTTTTTTCATTCTATTTTTCGTATATATATAATATTAAATATAAAATATATGGAAAGAAAATTATTATATACTTATATTTATAACTTGTATTCCGATTGCGTATATTATCAGTGCAGTTTTAGTAAGTGTACAATTGTATAAATTATATATTTATATTGCGCCTCTATTAGTATCTCGTCCATGATAAAATATAGGATAAAAAATAATTCACCAGAAATGATTAAATAAATACTACGATTTTATCGACACCGAGTTTTATCGATAATACGGTAATAAAGTAAAAAGTACTCACCATTGGTGGAGCCACTGCATTAATATCCGGTAAATCTCGAGGGATCGCTATAATCGGCTACCTCTCCTCTTTATTTCACCCTCAGGAAATCTGCAACGGATGGTTCACGTATCCAGCCGGTGCATCCAATATTGTTGCAATTGGCTATCACTTATTCCATTTCGACGAACTCGAAGCGACAACTTCGATTCATCCATATCTAAACCACAATGAGCACTATACACATATATCACTTTCACTATGCACTTTTGCTATGCATTTTATTGTGCCGCTCGTTATGCACTACAGTATATATTTCACTCAACACTCGCGAAAGTGACGAATTATGCGCGAAATTCACCTTCGAAGGATGAGAAATGTGGATTAACAGCGATTTCAAATCGCAGAGCTACAGCTTGTCACCGATCATAAAACCGATTACGATGCAACGTGACGATATTTGACGTAACGATGAACGCGCGACGTCTCACTCGGCACTTTCGATAACATTTCGCGAGAGAGAGGCTCACTTTCGACGAGTCTAAAACGCGAAAACCACGGGAAGCAACTTTTCAAATCCGACCTGCCGCGTCGCGAGCTGCTCCATTACTCCATGTATCGAACTCTGCTTGCGATTCTCGAAGGGACGATGCCCTCGATTCAGCGCGCCAATCACAGCGCTTGGTTCGTCGTAGCGTGTCGATCATAGGTGGATAGTTCGATATTCTCGATATATCGATGTAGCGGACCAATAGCAGTGATTCTCTTCATTTTTGAAGCTCACGCTACATACACTGTGTGCAAAATGATACATCTAACAATATTTGAACAAGATACGGAAGAATATATATAGATATATTTACAGAATGAAATAACACGTAAAAAAGGCAGCTGAAACTATTGTATGTTAAATATTCAAATAAATAATTAAAATGTTGATTAATTAAACATAATATTATCTAAATACATACATACATACATACATATATGTGTGTGTGTGTGTGTGTGTGTGTATGTGTGTATTTTAGAATATTTAATTATAATATATTATAATTATATTTAATTTAAATATTATTATATTTAATTAATAAACATATATATGAGCGAATTTAAATGAACTATATGAGGAATGTACACGATATTTTGTTTGACTGACTCTCAAATTCGCACGAGAAATTTACCATCATAATTCACGGAAAAAATATGGGACGGTTTCTCGAATCTGAGCTACCAGCATGAACTGTCCATTATTACAATTCTTCAAAGTAGAGATGCGCTCGATACAGTGAGTCAATCATAATCCTCGCTTCAATACTATTCTCAAAATATCTATACAGTAGATGCAACGAGCCAATCATCATGATCCTTTTTTAAAAATTAAAAATAAATCTCAAATTATGATAAATATTACATATAAATTATACATAGATTAATAGCATGCAATTTTGAAGTAATTAATCGAAATGCTGTTTTGAGTATTTCAAGGTAAGAGTTAAATAATATATATTCTTATAATAACCCAAAAATAATTTAAAAATAAAAGAGAGCAAAATCAGAGATCACACTCAATCTATGACTGATTCTTGTTGACGTGTCGCATTTGAGATATGTACCAAGAAATCCTTCGCATATGGATAGAAAGCGGTCTTGTCCCACTTATTATACAAGTGCCTTTAAGTTAAAAAGAATCGCTGTTTCGTTTCGTTCTGTCTGGCGATTACCGGTGATTGATCAAACGGCAATCTCCTAAATAAGGATTCGTAACCCAGTATCGAAACAGAAATAACGCGCCATTATCTAAATCGAAGGTGTGGTTCATGAACTTTTAATGTCGACCCATTTCGATCGAGAGATAATTCGCTTAATTTCTCTAGCTTGTTACCTATTTTGGAAACAGATCAGAAGTAGATTAGAAACAAAACAGTTTGAAGATCGTTTTGTGAAACAGTAGTATGTATAAATATTGTAAAATAAAAGATTTGACGTCTAAATAATAAAAATGTATAATTTGTAAAGACTCATTTTGAATAGAGAGAAATTTATATATATTTAAATGCAGATAAATCTGTAATTTTTGTTACAATAGTTTAAAAAAAAAGAAATTTTAAATTTTAAATTTGATAAATTGTAGACTTGCTTCGCTCTTGTATTCTACAACTGTATTTTATTAGAAAATGTAGATTATAATGTTAAAGATTTAAAGATAAGTACTTTCAAATTTTGTGAATAAAAAAGTCGAACAATTACAGGATATATAACTGTTTTGCCACGCATGTATTCCACTTATATAAGAGCAAACAATTTTGCACTTTTTATGTCGATATTTGCATATTCGCTGAAATATTACAGAGTCATGCTTCCATGGATAGCGTGCGTTTCAATTCTTCGCATTAGATATGCTCATATGATATGTACACAAATCAGAACATCGCGTATTTTCAAACATTCTAGAAATTCCTTCATTAATTAAATTTTAGCGTGAATTAAGGTTAAAATTTCTATTTCCAAATAAAAAAATTTCACTTGTTCATGATTTCTCTTTACTTTAATCTCTTTCCTTCTTAAGGGTCAATTCTATTCGAATAAATAAGCAAATATATTTTCTTTATAGATTATGATTAACATTTTCATCCACACTATTTAAATTATCGCAATTAATATCTTGAAAAAAAAAACGTTAAATTTAATAAAATTACATCATTGACGCAATACAAATTTATAAAAAGCTAAAGATTATATAGGTCGCAGACGCACGTTCATCCGATGCAGCAGAGAAGCATACAGAAGATGCGAACGATCGAGAGAAAGAGCAATAAAAAAAAGCGGAATGTAGATTGCAGCGGGTGTAGCCAAATATGGACAAGTGGTTCCTCGCGTCGATCAAGTAAACCCCGTCTCTCCTCGCATACTATTACTTTTTTTTCATTTTTCGTGAAACGATACGGGAAAGGAGCACTTAAAAGAAGCGTCAGGATTTGCGCGAGTATGAATGCCTTACGAATCTTTCTTCTTTTCTACCCCTTATCCTTACCCTTAATCTTGAGAATTTCATAACATAAAACACATCGAGTCGTTTCGTTCCCCTGAATATCATACGGAAATCAATGAAAGTTATTATACTGTGGGCATATAATAATAAAATAATCAATTCTATTCCAAGGTTGCTGGAATTATGCTTTTGAAAGATACTTTTTTGAAAAGAGCAAATTTGAAATGCTAATAATCATACTCAATACTAATCATTTAATAATATATAATTAATAATATAATATGTGATATATAATAATAGTTTATGATAAACATACATAATCAATCATATACATAATCAAAATTCTTTATGATTTATCAATTCAATGAATGCATTTGAAGAATTATATCCTTGATTTAATTTAACTTCTGACTTAATTCGTAGTTATGCCTCTCTTTCCTTGTCACCCCTTCTCTCTCTTTTTCTCTCTCTTTTGACAATTGAATATCATAATGAATCATTCTGAATTTGTATTGCTCAATGTATTTTGACGATATAACAAAAGCGGCTAACGAGATCGCCTTGTATGGGCTATCCAACGTTGTGGAACTTCTGACTCTTGATTCCTTCTTCATTAAGTGGGAGGTCCTTTATTGCCTTTAAATGGCATCGATGGCACCGACGTGACGCATTGTGTAATACCAAGAGATCAAATAAGAAAACGAACGTCACAATACGTATAGTTATAATCGTATAGTTATAATCGACATTACATCAATTTTACGAGCAATAAATACAAAATAAAGCAAAATTATATTAGTTAAAAAATATTTATTAATAGATTAATGTATAATTAAAATATAATATATAATTAATATATAATTAAAAAAATAATAATTAATATATTAATTAAATATTATAGACAGTAAAAGTATAACTTCAACATATATCATGATTGCATAAAATAAAATATTAATAAATGTTATAAATTGAAAATATTTTGCATTTGTCACTTGTATATATATGTGTTAGGCAGACACATTTTTATCCTTTTTATACAGTATAAAAAACATGATTTCTCTTTAAATAAGTTTGTGTGTGTGTGTGTGTGTGTATGTGTGTGTGTGACAATTT